ACCATTATCACACAGAAGAGATCAGGACTGGGGCTCGGATCTGCAGCCCTTCTCCAAGCTCACCATATCATGGAGTGCTCTATAAATCGGAGAGGTCCAGAAGCCTGGATACAAGGGAACTTCCCTGGGGAATAACACACATGCCAATTTAAGATGTCTAAGCAAGGAAAGCAGTTCTCTTTTGGAAATACTACTGCCTGCTGCTTTCATTACCTCTCTGATGCGATTTGCATCAGTACACTATCTAGAGTGAAGCCTAGAACTCTAGCTTTACAGGGTCTGATGTTTCTCCTTGGAAAGCGGAAGACCTAATGTTTAAAAGGTATATTTAAGAGCAAAAATGCATGGTCTGATTTTGAATTGATAGTCAACTAACAGAAAACCGTCTACGAGATGGAGCACGAAAGCAGTTGCAGTTATTAAAAGAATCCAGCAGAGAGCCTCTGACAAGTGTCAAATATGTGGGGCTGCTGTAACAACTAAAGGTGAGCCTAACTGAGAAGTAAATTTCTCTTCATTTAAACCGAACAGATACCAATGTGAAGGTGTAATACATGACTTAAATGCATCTGTGACATCTGCCTTGGCTAGCCATGTGCCTCTACATGCTTCTTTAATCAACTGATGGCATTGTAGATTATAGCATAAAATAAGGAAAAAGTGCCAGAGGATTTAAACTATTTATACCTTAGTTTCACTTGCAAGAGCAGATAAATTAATAATTATGTTTATTTATTTTCCCTGAATATCCTGGTAGCTATACCTTAATGCTTGTTGAGAAGGCGATTTATGAATGGACCAATATGAACCTTGTTAACCTTTCTTCAGTAAAGCATCGACTATGTCAGCTCTTCAAAGCAGATTGTAGGTTTGCAACCAAGTCAGCCCAGCAAGGAACCATGAACCAGCCCTATAACAGAATGCTTTCTTAGCGCCTTCCCCAGCTCAGGGACGTTTACTGGGGTTGAAGGTTTATCTCTCATGCCCCCTTTTGAGAGGCAGCACGTTCTTCCCTATGGTGATTGGGACTCCACTTCCCAGCATTCTCGGCGGAAATGTGACGCCGTCAAAACAAGCTGCTGTGACGTCATCGTCAAGCGCTGCACCTGTGGGACCACGCGCTCTACCTGCAGACAGCGAGGAGGGAAACAGGCCAACTGCGGACGGACTGGCCGGCCTGACGTGCCGGGCCGAACCCTGGACCCTTGAACCAATGACGGCAAGCGACAACCGGATGTTGGACAGAGCTGACAAGCAAGACAGGTGGAGCCGGCCGCTGCGCCTGGGACCCGCGCCCCCTGGAAGGCAGCGCAGCGCAGCGCCGGGCCGGGACCGGGACCGCAGCGGAGCCGCGGGCAATTCCTCCCCCTTCTGCGGACCCTCCAGACCAGAGCAGCCGGACACAACTGCGGATGTTGTTCAAGCGACACTCTCCCCAACAGCCGAGATCGCTGCTGAGACTTCACAATGCAATCGACCCGCCATCATACTCACCGCAGACAGGACAAGTAGAAACAACCGACAAACCACAAGTAACGCTCACAACATCCTGGCAAAAGGCTTGTAGAGGGAGCAGCAGAGATAGGCAGGCAGGCTAAAGCAGCCTAAATAGGCGCCATGCATGATGTTTGCCAATTGGATGCTTGAGGAAATCAGGTGAGCTGTCAGCTGACTGTGTATGGTATCCAATGGGAAGCTTAGAGGAATCAGCGGATGTATGTTTATGACTAGCTGTGCTCGTATGATATAGCTGTAACTGAAAGCTAAGCCTGACTTCGTGCCCTGCCTGAACTAACGCTATGCTCAATTAGTGCACGAAAGCTGCATGCTGCCTGTTACGTTACTCAAGCCTTTGAGTTTGCTTTTTTTAACTTCTTAACTTGTATTCTCTTTTTATTCGTTCTTATTTTTTCACTGTAACTCTCTGAAGTCCTTCCCTCTCTAACAATGTTGTTTGAGAGAGTTTTTGTGTTTTATTTCGTGTTTTAATGCTGCTTCCACCGGGACACTAGGGCGGCCATTTCCTTCACATCAAAAAGGAAGCTGGTTCCACAGGAGAGGAGCTTGGTAACTGAAGGCTCTGGCTCCTGTTCTACTTTTAGAGACTATAGGAACCACAAGTAGCCCAGGATTCAGAGAACGTAGTGTTCTAGAGGGGTGATAGGGTGCTATGAGCTCTTTAAGATATGAAGGGGCCTGACCGTGAAGAGCTTTATAGGTGAAGAGGAGAATTTTAAATTCTATTCTAAATTTTACAGGGAGCCAGTGCAGAGAAGCTAGTACAGGAGAGATGTGATCTCTTTTTCTAATTCCTGTCAGTACTCGTGCTGCAGAATTTTGAATTAATTGGAGATTTTAATGGACTTATTGGGGCAACCTGATAATAAAGAGTTTCAGTAATCCAGCCCAGAAGTAACAAATGCATGGATTAGTTTTTCTGCATCTGTCTGTGATAGGATGTGTCTAATTTTTGTAATATTACGTAAATGAAAGAAGGCAGTCCTAGAGGTTTGCTTCATGTGGGAATTAGATGACAGATCCTGATCAAAGATAACTCCAAGATTCCTGACAGTGGTGCTAGAGGCCAAGGTAATGCCATCTAGAGTAACTATATCTTTAGACAGTGAGTCTCTAAGATTTTTGGGGCCAAGTACAAGAATTTCGTTTTTTTTCTCAGTTTAACATCAGAAAATTGCAGCTCATCAGAAAATTGCAACTCATCTGCAGATATCATCTGCAAATAGATGGTATGCTATGTTAAATCGGTCTATGGTCTGACCCAGGGGCAGCAAGTATAAAGAAAATAGCAAAGGCCCCAAAACCAAGCCCTGAGGGACACCACAAGACAGAGGAGAGGAATCAGATACAAAATCTCCACTAGAGACAGTGGAACTTCTGTCAGTGAGATAACACCAGTCTAATTCTATGCCTGATATGTTGACCCAATCACATTGCCTCTAAATTACTTTATGAAGGTCTACTGTATCAATTGTAGAACTAAGATCAAGGAGTACTAAAACAGAACAGTCACTCACGTCAGGGGACATGAGAATGTCATTAGAAACCCTCAGATTATCCAAAAGCCTAACTGAAATGTATGATAGATATTGTGCCTCTCCAAAGCTTATTAGTACTTTTATTTAAGTAAAGGATCTGAATACTTCTTCCACTACTGCAACATACAGTACATACAGAAGCAGATGGAGAGGGAGGAAAAGTAAGTAAGCCTAGAAACTGAAAAACTCAGAGCTACAATACTTAATATCATGGTGATGGTCGAACCAAAACAATATCAAAGGAACCTGTGTTTTTAGGCCGTCTGTTTAGTTCTCCTCTGCGTCGATACATATTTCATTGGGCCTCAACAAAGCGAGTCAGGAGCATATTCTATCACAAAGGCCTCTGAACAAAGTCCCACATGTATGCTGGACAGCACACACACGCACACACAAAGCAGCTCAATTGTCTCCACACTGGGTTGGCGTGTCCAGGCTCAGCAGAAGTGCCCTTAGGTGAAAAAGAAGCTACAGAGAAAGCAAGAAGACCCTCAATTGTCTCTCCAAGGAGAGGAAGGCTTATGGAGAAAAAAACCTGAGAATGTTTTATCAAAGAGATGATATTACAAAGGACAAGTTTTGCAGACAAGCCCCCACATATTTCTTTGTAATCACTTGTTTCATCATGTCCCAATCACTTGTGAGCTGAGAATGTGTATAAAAATCGAAGCCATTGTAAATGAATGAAATCATTCTAAATGTGTGAAAAACTGACATTTTGTTGACAAGTTTCTCTAATGAACACAGCTACATTCTTCACTGTTATTCCTCCCAACCAGACCCAATGTTTTAGTAAAGTTGAAGGCTTAAATCGCAAATGTCCCTCCTGTTTTCTTGAGAGGACCTGGTGGTTCATGGTGGACCAACAGGTAGACCTTTGGGTCTACCTCCTCTTTTAGTCTCTTAGCCTCTTTCTTTCTCTGTGAGCCTCATTCAAAGGTTTTTCTCATCCCTGTGCCTGCATTTGTGACAAGACAGAATGTGCCTACACAGTTCCTCTGAGATAGCTGGAGGTCAGGCCTCCGAGGAACTTTAGCTGCATTGACCCCAAATGTACTTATTCTGCATTAAGGTGGGACTATCTGCTGGCTGTTTTGAATGTGGTGTTTGCTTGCTGTACTCGTATGAGTATTCTGTGTAACCACAATAAATATAAAAAGAAGTTCAACTGCAGTTTGTTTTGTAGTGGAGAACTGTCTCTATTTAAATATGCTAACAGATCAGATAGGCAAGGAGTTTCCTCTTCTCATATTCTCAATTCTGGTGAAACAGATGTAAATGTAACCTTAAACATGCAGTAACTAAAACAAAAAAACCTACAAGATTATGAACACAACACTGACATATGATCAGATTTTAAGTTAAATGTTAGACAAACATCCAGTTCAACATGGATTCTCTTTTAGCTCTGTTTTCAGTCTCCAACTCCTGAGGGAGATATCTGGTTCTTTAGTAGGTTAATGCTCCACTATGTTCACCATTTAGTGGCTGTGTTTGTCTGCAGTTTGGTGCAGAGCAGGTTGTATATAGTGAGCTCTTAGAGATTTTTTGCTGAAAACTAACCCCAAGACAAACAAACAGTGGGCATAAACTTGCTATAAAGTTCTGCAAACCTGAGGTGAACTGCAGGTTCAAGTGATCATTCTCTGTAGGTTACTAAAAGTGACCCCTTTCACATTTTCCCATGGAGACACAGCTTTCAGGGGACCAGTCGACAGTGGATAGGGCCTGGGGTTTTATTTTTCCTCTTTTTTTATTTCTTAATTTATGTAGCCTATTTTTTCTTTATTTTCTATTTGTTTCATTAGCATCTACATTCTTCACTATGTTAGCTATGTATTTTTGTGGGTTCCCCATGTTCCGAGTACTGTTACTTACTTACTGAAGCATACAATTGTGCCAGTGCATATGACAGTAATTCCTTATAATGACATACATTGAACATTAGATAGATGATTGCCTTTATTCCATGCATAGCATACAATAATGGTAATTCTCTTTAAATAAAAAAGCATTTCTAATTCACAACCATTTTTATAGATAATTTTTCCAGTGGCAAATATTATATTTGCGATTAATGGCAAATAAGATCAAGAGAATAACTCAACATTCCATACAATGCACTTTAAGAAACAATATTGTACAACAGGACAAATGGATCATGTTGCCATACGCCTCAATCAAAAATATTAAATACTAATCGAACAAACAAACTGAAAACATGTAAAAGCTCATTTAACTGTAATAATTTAGCTCTAAATTATCCAAATAAAGTGGATACTGACTGAAAACATTAAAAAAGGCTTGAGAATTTCAAGGCCCAGTGTGTAGGATTTAGTGGCCTCTGGCGGTGTGGTTGCAAGACTGTTACTCCTTTGCTTCAACCCCTTTTCCAAGTGCAAAGGAGAAACTACGGTGGTGGCGAAAAACAGCCTTATCTAGAGCCAGTGTTAGGTTTGTTCATTCTGAGCAACTGTACAAACATGGTGGTTCAACATGGTGGCCGCCATGGAAGGTGACCAGCCGTGTCTGTAGATAAAAAGACTCATTCTAATGTAACAAAGACTTCAGGTGATTATACACTAATGAAAACATACCTGTGAATATTATATTGCATTTCTGCCATAGATCCTCGTAATTTTACACACTGGACCTTTAACCAGACATCTTGGTACTGCAATGCTAAATAGTTCAAATGATCATTTGTGTCATGTTACTGTATTACCCCTTGTTTGAAGGTTCTCAGATAGCCAAAATGCTTTGGATACAATATCTTCAGACAAGATCAAATAAATTGCACTGTGGTAGCATGTAAAGTGTTTCATTTCAAAACAGGTTATACTTTCATTTTCAAAAAGTAGCACCTACTCATACAAAAAAATCTAATAACTGATATAATTAATGATATGAAATTCCCAGTTGAATAAAATGAACTGATTACCTTTTTCCAAGAACACTGTACACATTCATTGTATTTAATGTGATCATTTAGTTGCTCTAGGCAACGCATCTATGTACATTTTGACGTATTCTGCATCCATTCAAACTGACACAACCCCCAAACACTTGATGTCCAGTAAGAAATTAGAGTGAAACAGCTCATTATTCCTTTAGGTGTAATGAAAAAGTACATGCACATGATCTTGTACATGAGTTCAGCGCTCCACTATCAGTGTTCGGTGTGCAGGCCATCATACAAAGCTCTCCTCCATGTTGGAACACAGCAGGAAAGAGTCGACTAGCCGTGGTTTGATCAGCTGCTGGTGGTCGGCTGGCTCAATGCTGTCTGGACACCCTGCTGCCAGCCTCCTCAAGGCAGCCTGGAGACACACACACACACACACACACACACACACACACTCAGTATGCATATGAAAAGACCCATAACACGCTGTACTCCTATATTCAAACACATAGATTAAAATAATTTTAAGTGGGGAAGCACAATTTCAACTGTGCATATTTAATGTTGTTAAATAAACAAAAACTTTCTGTGCCTGCAGGTTTACAGTAAACAACAGCATACTGTAGTGATACTGTAATAAATTCAACCCTACCAAGCGAGCAGTGTGTTTTAATAACACACCACGATTTTTCGTTCAACATCTCATGTGATTTCAGGAGACCATCAGTGCTGTGTGTGACGTCTCAAACTAATTCAGCCAGGAGACCCTCCAACATTTACATTTAAAATTACAAATGATCTGTGAAAGCTCAGCCTCCTTTGAAGGTAAAAATTCAACACCCACAAATGCTCTACTTAACCCTTGGCTAAAAGGATAAAATGGAATCACATTAATTTGAATAGACTGACAAATGTGGTTACAGTGAAGAGGGCATTTCTGGGCGCAGCGAGGCAGCCCAATTAAGCCCCTGACCATTATGCGCTTCAAATCCCCTCATCGGCCCTAAGATCTGGTCTTGATAATTATGATCAGAATTAAAGAATGATAAAGTACAAGCAGGGAGATTATTCATGATATGTACATATTTAAACATACAATGTTTGAGATGATGTGTCAGCTATCTCAACATGGTTTAAAGATACTGGTTAGTTGTGATCATTTTCAGATATTGCCCTGTGGATGTAATTAAATTGGACAGTCATTTGGTGCACTGATGTTACACGTGTGGGCCTGTAGTATAGTGCCCTCAGTTTGTACTATAAAGCGAGTGCAGGTAGTGAAATAAGCAGTTTGAATGTTTGAATGATATATTTGTATTCAGGACATGGAGTCATTTACATTTATGGGGCTGCACACACATAAAGAAACATACACTTTATACCTACCAGGCAAGCGACCAGCACTGAGTCGCTGTTATTTCTCTCAGTAGGGGAGCGACACAGTTCAATAAGACGAGGAACAGCTAAAGACAGGAGAGGTAAAAGTCAGTTACAAGCTTGTCCCATTCTTAGACACTGATATCAACTATAAACAGTGGCGCACAGGAGAGCAATTGTGTACAGGAAACATACAGAGTAAAATTACTTTTTGTAATGCATAAAATATTCCTACAATAAAGTCAGTTTAATAAAGAAGTTACATTTAGGTTCAAATAATAATTGCAAAATAAATGTGACTGTAATCTGATACAATTACCAAGAAAACAATATGTTATTAAAATACAATTACTAATAAAAGGGTGATTACAATATTCTTTTTTGGGTAAAAAAGCTTATATGTAGAATATAATATTCATTGTTTTGAAGTCAAGGGTAGGGTGGCTTACAAGGAGCTTTCTCTACAGATAGACAGGCTGTATTAATTGGCCAGTATACGCTCAAATCATTGGTTCTTTTGTTTGAATCTGCAGCATCTGCCAATCAAATCAATAAGCATTGCTCTAGACAATCAGTGTTGAGTACAGTGGTGAGGTTTACACTGCCTGGTTTAAATTTATATTTTAAATGCTTTATTGCCCAGTTTAAAACATTTGTTAGAAAAGTAATCAAAACATACTGAAATGTAATAAGTTACATTCATTCATTAAAGTACTAACTACTAACTTAAAGTAGTTACATTACTTATTACATTTTTTTTACAGAATAACTAGTTATCTGTAACCCATTGCAGTTCAAAAGTAACCTTGCTTACCAACACTGATTACTATGTTTATAAAACCACTTATGTTCCCTTTGCTCATTAAAAAAAAAAAACTTTGTCTTTTTGCCCCTTTTTTGTAAGCACTTTCTTTGTTTTCTTGTTTATTGTTCTCAACTTTTTTCTGCATTAGTTAACAATACTATTTAATGAAGAATAAACAGTGTAACAGTGTTGTAACAAAACTGAAATTCTGCACTACCTTTTAGCTGGATGGCTGTTTGAGCTACATCAGAGTCTCTGCTTAGACGGGCCAGTGTGACAGCAGCTTTCTGCTGAACACGCTCACAGGCGGCGCCCTCTGATGGACTGGAGGAGGACGGCTTTTCTCCTAGCAGAAGCAGCAGTCGCTCTATTCCTATAAGACATAATATACAGTGCACATTAGTCAGGCAAGAAATCAAGGAAACAAAGATGTCAGGAAGGATAGAAATTAACAAAAAGTACAAAGTTAAAGTACAACAAGAAAGATAGAAATGTAATACCAAAGAAACACATCTACACAAAACAGACAAGCAGTAAGTTAGATAGGAACCTGACACATCAAGTAGATGATTTTAAAATTTTACAACCATAAAGTTACACAAGATTCAGACAAAACAAAGTGCTCAGGAGCCAGACATTATATATATTTTTTGGGGGCTTTTATTGCCTTTATTATAGTGACAGAGGAAGACCGACAGGAAAGGGGGGCAGAGAGAGAGGGGATGACACGCAGCAAAGGGCCGCAGGTCGGATTCAAACCCTGGGCCGCTGAAGCAAGGACTCAGCCTCGGTACATGGGTCGCCAGCTCTACCAACTGAGCTATCCAGGCGCCCAGGAGCAAGACATTACACACGTCCCTGTCAAAAATGATTTATAAATGCAGTCCAAATATAAAAGAGAAAGAGATTAGATTAAAACAGCATCATCACTCAGGTTTTTAGGTAGTAACATATAATTCTTTAGATTTACTCTAATATTCACAAGTGCTGAGGCTCACTGCTTCAGGACGATTGCAGGTACAAAGACTATGACAAGCTGACTCTGAAACACATTATGCACACGTGCGTATTCTAGAAGTATAAATATTTTTGGCTATTCCATGATCAAATTTGAAAATACTCACTATCGGAGGCAAAAGCAAGCCACACAATTTATCTGGAAACACTTACCTACTGACTGAGGGACCAATACACATACTGAAAACATATGCATCAATCCATGAATTAAAGCATAGAAACAATGGAATATGTTGCACAGAGTGGACTCATAGCCGGAAATTTAAATAGTGAAAATGAAGTATGAAAAAAATGAAAAGAAAAGAACATTAAAATACATTACAGGTGTCTGAAAGTATCTGCATATGATCTGTGGTTATTGTCATTAAGTCCTGCCAGGTACCTTCACAGATATTATCTGATGCTGCCATCTTGAGGATTAATAAAGAACTTGTTCTTGCTTGTACATCAACTTGTGGGTATTGTTGGTGTATGTCCTTCATCCAACAGCAGTTGCTGATAAAAAATAAAAATGCTGTGTAACATTCAAGAACAAATTATAATTGAAAAATGGATTACCTTGTTCTTGCAGGACTTCAGAAGCACACTGCTCTAAAACTGACAGGTTTGCCAAGATTGTCACCACCTGAGATTAAAAAAAACAAAAAAAACACGATGAAAGGTTTGGCACATTTACTTTTCTAAACACAGTTTGTCCAGAAGGCATCTCTTGAAAATGCACACTGTTTTCTATACCATACCACTTCACTAATACACTTCAATTTAATACATTCCCATCTACTGTAAGAGCTGCCCTGTATGATCACATTCTCTGCTGTTTTGCTACAGAACAGCTCATCAAACTGGGGTTAGAAGGGCTCCTGTAAGCCAGAGTCATTCACAATCATCCTCCCTATAGGTTTTTAATGTTTTAATTTTGCTACTTTTTCTATTTTGTTTTTTGTGAGACAAAACACTGAAACGTGTACCTGGTCTTTGGAGTAGGGTGTGTCGACTCTCTGGCGGTCTCTGCAGGCCTGCAGCAGGATCTGGATGGCGTTTAGCTGCAGGAGAATCTCACAGGCCATGCTGTCAAAGAAGGTGATATTGGCCAAGGCTGCAGATGCCAGGAGGAATACTTCACCACATGAGGCACTCTCACACAACTCTGAGAGAACAAAACATCACTGACTGAGTACAGCGGTTCTAATGTAACACAACAACACAGGATTTGAAACCATGAATTTGTTCCAGTTTGAGGATGTTGTCTTTTGGCAACTAGATGATTTATTGTCTGTTCTGTATTTTTTGTAGTTAACATTAACACATCTTGTGTCTCCAAACAAGCCTTGGATAGGCCTACTAAGTCAATGGTCAGGGTTACGTTATCAGTTTCACATCCACTCACTGATGAGCGCAGTGACAATGTCGTGCATGCTCTCCAGGAAGCTGGCGAGGTGCTGTGTGGACGTGTGATGAGGTGAGGTGATCTGAGCTACAACCGCTGCTGCCTCTGCCCTGGCTGCTTCCACGCTGTTTTCATCAGTCAAGATGTCCGCCAGACACAGGATGCCATCCACCTTCAATTAGACAACATACAGTTTACACAATATAAACATGTATTTTAATGTAATGGTATATGGACAGCCATATGTTTTAGATAGACAAATAAGATGTTAAAGGAAAAGACCAGGTATACATACTGCACTAAATTAGTCAGAAGAATAGCCTACCCTGGTTAAACTTAGATGTTTGGGAACTAAAACAACTAATGAAACAACATTACCATACATTAAAACAGCTCTTAAATCTAGGCTTAGGCCAGCTGTTTCATAAACATTTTTGGTGGGGCAAGATGCAATACAAAACTCATCTGGAAACAGATTAAAAAACAGGGAAAGATCATCAGAAGGGGATTTAGGGGGTAATCTGACTCAGGACCTATATAGATTAGCTTTATCAACTTTGTTTCTGTAATAGCACAGGACTTCCCCGACAGCAACTTGGCCCCAATTTCAGAAACTGTCAGTGAGAAGATTTTTGACATTAAAGGAATTTCAGAAATCAAAATGACTCAGATCATTGACTTAAAACAAACATATGAAGCTAAGGATGTATATGGTGTGGACACTGCAAATGAAAATGAAAGAGGAAAAAAAAGAGTCACAAGCACCTCTGCCAGGTAATTAACTTATCCACTTTCCAGAGGCTATTTTCAACTGTAGCCAAAGCTGTTGTAACCAGGCCCATCAGTATAGTGCCTGTTATCTCTGAGATTGCTGAAAAATGGGTATCTGAACAACTCATTTCCATCTTAAGAACAGTCCCTTCTCCCTACACCCAATGCAGTTTGGCTTTAGAGCAAAACACTCCACTGCAATGGCCAACTGCTTCTTTGTTGAAAACATTAAATCAATCATAGAGAAGGACAGTGTTAGAGCTGTATCTACAGTACGCCTTTGAGACCTTTAACCATAACGTCCTTTTGGCTAAGCTCTCCAGGTTTAACTTCTCCCCTAATGCACTTAACTTTATGAAATCATATTTGGTAGACAGAGCCCAGTGTTTGAGAGTATACCACCAACACTTAGCTTTTATCAAGTATTCTATTGGTGTTCTCCAAGGGTTTATTCTAGGCCTGCTCTTATTTAGCCTGTACATAGATGGTCTACTAATGGTTTGCTCTGACTTTAATGTCCAGATATACACTGATGATACGGTTGTCTATGTACCTGGCAAAAACAAAGATAAAGTGTCATCAGAACTGTCTGCTGTAATTGTACAAGTTACCACGTTGCTAATTGAAACCCGCCTTCAGCTTAATGTTTGAGAAACAGTCAGTTTGCTCTTCACAAAAACACCCGAACCTCAACACAAGATCCAGACCTCACAGTCTCTGGGAAAAAAGCTTCAAATCATGTTTGCGTTTAAATACCTTGGCATAGCTGTTGACTCTGTTTCACGTCACATGTAAAAAAAGGTCACAAGGAATGTTAGATTCAATCTGGCCAATTCACAAGGCACTTAATGTCCCTTAGACTGTAGACTATGTCACTTTTCAAGGTATTATAAAATATGGCTGCTCCACAACTCCATACTTACATCATACTGAAAACCAGCCAAACTACTATCAACAACTAGACGGGATTGTCCTACTCCCAGAAGACAAAGTAGTTTCTTTTCTGCCAGTATCCCAGGATTGGAAAAATCCGCTTTTTAAGGCCTTTTAAGACTTTTTAAGGATCCACAGATACCTGATGTTACCTGGACTCCTGAATCTTTTCTCTCTTTATTCTTTAAATACCCAATAGTGTAGTTATAAATCACTTTCACTAGGATCTGTCTCCAGGCCTGACCACTGAACTGAACTCTCACTTCACATTTCATCTCAGCGCGGCAGGGTTGACAAAGCATCGGCAACATCACTGGCCATCCAGACAGTTAAGTGTCCATAGAGTCAACTTGACTGGAACTTGCAGCTCGGTCCGTAAAGTGATCACAATTAAAACACACCACTCTGATTTAATTGCCACCCCCAGGGTGAATGTGCCCGCCGAGAAACTCTTGTATATGTGACTGGCATCAATCCAGTGTGTGTGCATCATCAGGTTTGTAGATGAGCTCAGACTTCTAGAAGAGCAGCAAATTCTCTTCTGTTTAAAGAGAAGTTTGCTCATGGGGATGAGGTCATATTTATTGCATCTTTGCGTTCGAATATGTTTGTGTTTGTGTGTTGATTTGGTATTAGAGTATAGCGGCTTCAGGAAATAATAAAGATGTAGAACAGATCTTCATCCACTTGAGGGCAGTATTGCACAGTTCAGACAAACTTTACTCCAGCTGCTGATTGTTACTCTGTGTCTGCTGGCAGTCGTAATGAAGTCTTGCATATGAGTTGAAAATCAGCAGACACTGGAAATCATCTATACTATCAATTAAAATTCATAGTCCTAAACTGCAGGATCATGGTTTCTAGGGTGGAGGTTCTGGTGAAAAATCCATTATTTGATACATCAGAAATCAGATATGTTATGCTCTGTATTACAGTAATTTTTCAATCACAGTCATGATTTACAGGTCAAAAGCAAATTAATGTTTTTGATGATCGGCCAACATCAGCTCCTGAAAACAAAAGTTTAAAGACAAGCATCCAGAGTGAGGCAAACTGTCAGCCAGCCACACCTGTCAGTCTTATCTGCTGACGAGCATCAGCGCGCTGAGCTTCACAGGGCAGTACCCTATTTTTGTCTCCATGGACGTCAGCAGCACTGTGCCAGAGCGACCCACTGACGTGGAACAATCCACTCTCCACACCCCCGTTCATCTACTGTCCCCCCTCTGTTTCCCCTGTCCCTATCCACACCTCCTCCTCCTCCCCAAAATAGGATATTCCCCAACTCCTCATTTACCGTACACCGGATGTATCTCATTCAGTTTATTGTCAAGACCAACGCTCAATAACTTTTTTGCATTCTTAGGAATAACAACAAAGTTTACGATGCCATTGGAAGTTTTAACTTGATACCATCCTGTTGAAAGTATTTCAGCTTGTGGCCATAGGAAATACACTGAACTGTTTTCTGTTTCAGCAACAAAAGTGTAGAATCCTAAACCTACAAATTAATTTATTTTTAATCTCATAAATTACATTTTTCTTAAAATATGGCACATTGGAATGATTGGAACCTAGTGTCAATATGTATATGCTCCAGAAAAGCAGTGCTTTTTTTTTTTATCACATTCACCTCTCAAATTGTCACATCCAGCCTACTGTTTCTGGACTACTTGTATGACATGGCTGGTGTGTGGCAAGTCAATGGATGCGACAAGGTCAGTGCGTGCTGCACTTCAAGGAAATTTTATCCTTTAATTACATTTCACAGGCTTTCAATGTTCAGTCTGACACAATATCAGTCCTTCGTACTTATTTTTCTTAGTACATCTTGAGCAGCTTTGTTCATAATCAATACTCTTTCCATTCACCATTGTATGATTACATAATATTCCAGTAGGGATAAAGCTAAGAAGTATAGAACATCCACCAATAAGCAGTGCAGATGCATACCGGCCCCTTTTCTCAATCATCCTTCAACAGTGACAGTTGTGTTTCTCAAGCCTGAGCGATTGCTGGTGAGCGGTTGGTAGCATAGACTTGCCTGACAGCCTCTCCCCTGGGATGAGGCTGCTAATCTGGGGCGGACTTTGGTTCCTGTTAAAGAGTTTTCACACTTGGATGATTCATGCTGTCCCAGCTGCTCTATATGTGAACACAGACACCGCTGTGGCATCATTATTCGCCGGAATCAGGTTATATTTGTCTTTCGGTAAACGCTTGCTTGACACAGGTGCGTCTGTTGTTTATTTTGGTTGAATTCTCGATAGAGAACAAACAAGGACAAACAAAGAAGGATGTATCATTAGCTTCCTCTCTCCCTGTCTCACCTTATTTCCTTTAAGCACGCACAAACACAGTGAGAATTCATGTATGTCTAAATATTTGACCTGTCAGCTCAGCGGTCAGGAGGTTCCATATAATGATCTCACCACAAATCATGACTCATCGTTTGTGTATGCACTGTATTATTCTGCCATTAGATGAAAAACTTGACCTATACACCGTATGATGCTTATTTTCTCAATCTCTTAGTCTAAAATTATACAGCGCAGATTAATGGCAGTTCCCCTGCCCCCCGATGTAACTGAACTTGGTGAACTCATCCATGAAAATTTAATCAAGTAATAAATAGAAAGCTGGAGAACTCAACTACTGTAGTCAAAAGTTTCCCAAAAAAGTAACAATACAGCTACAGAAGTGAGACGCAAACAAAAACACTGTTGTTGCTAAGATTGGCAGTCCATGCCAGTTCCTACACTGCATTTTCCAACTGAGTTTGCCAGTAGAAGAGGGTACCTGCAACATGTGTATCCTCTTCCGTAACCATGAATGACCATAATGGCCAAAGGAGATCCTCCTCCTGACAGGAATTAACAGGATGTTTACAAAACGACGCTTTACCTTTCATAATCTAGCACCAGCAGCACTGGCACAAGATAATGTCATGAAATGGTAATCAAAACCAATATAGAAATTTTATTAAATTAATTTTAAGGACAGCCTATCACAATGAATAAACATACAAATGCTTTTCTTCCCTGCTAAACCTTCATTAAACCGTAGATCCTTCAATTCCATGAGCACACACTTTGTTTCTGTCCAGCCAAGCCTCCTCCTGCTGCCATTGTTGGCTCATATTCACCTGTGAAAATAAACTAGCCTCCCAGTCATAACATGGGAAGTGAGAGCATGGCTGAACGTGTACAACAGTAGACAGACTATACTGTGCTGCTGGGAAGAGGAACGGCCCTCTGTCTGAGCTACAACCTCAGCTGATAAGTGTAAACATAATCTGTCTGAACTGGTATTTTACTGGAAGTTCTGTACTTACTTGAGATTAATGTCAACTTTCTCTCTCTCTCTCTCTCTCTCTCTCTCTCTCTCTCTCTGTCTATATACACATGTATATACCCATTTTTCATTACAAGAAAATCTGGATTAGTGCTCATGTGCCATTTCCTCCAAATTTTAATTATTTTCTTTTATATCTGGCTACGAAATACAGATGTAAGGCTAACTGTTGCTCATTTATAGTTTATCTGTCAATCATCATGAAAAAAAGGCCATTATTATTATGATCTTGACTTTTGTTTTTCACCATGCCTGTTGTATATAATTTGTGTTGTGTGTGTGTATGTGTGTGTGTGTGTGTGTGTGTGTGTGTGTGTGTGTGAGAGAGAGAGAGAGAGAGAGAGAGAGAGAGAGAGAGAGAGAGAGAGAGAGAGAGATAGAGAGATAGATTAACCTTGTCCAGTTGCTTGATGCCCTCCTCCACACAGCAGATGGAGGCCACAGTCCTGAGAGCGTGAGCGTACAGGTCTCTGAAGCGGTCCTGCCTGCAGATCTTGAAGAGGGCCACCACAGCTCCTTCCTATGAAAGAAGACAAAGTAAAAATGTGTGAAATGTAGTGTTTGACTTTTTCTTTGAGACGCTGTAGAAATAAAACTGTTATTGCATGTGAATATGGATATGGTACAATGGGGCAGAAAACGTTTTTTCGTCTTTGTGCTTAACCTTGTACCTACATTTTATCTCACAAGCCTTATGTATCAAGCCTGTATTATTATTATTATTATCATTATTATTTATTATTATTATTACTTGCTTTATTTCCTCCCTTACTAAGGAGTAAATACAGGACCTGTATGCATAATGGACAGGACAGGTGTAGACTAAATATTACTATAAGATCTTTTTTTTAAACCTGTTTGGGGACGATACGAAACTATAATGGACTTTGCCTTAATCTAACACTCTACAATCCCTTTCTCTGGGGCAAAGATACAGGGTAGGCAAGACAGGACTTATCAGGACTATTTCATTTATTCACTAACAGGTAAATTCGACAAGAGGAGAAAGAAGATTATTATTTTTCTGTTTGTGAGTGTGTGTTTAATAAACATTTATACTCATTTTACAATTGATAAATTAACCTATAACATAAATTAAACCCACCTATATTGTGTATGAACAATTGTATTGCCACTGGTGACCTGGTCTCTTGTGGTTTTTCATCCTATGTAGTAATTTTGCAGTCTTTACGTTTTACTAAAAACAATAAAAAAATTACAACGATTAATCACACAAACTGCAGTATGCACAGGGTTCAAAGCTACAGCAAGACACAGGATTCAACAGTATTTCTTGAGGACAGTGTACTGCTAAATTTGTGTTGATCCTGTCCTGCCATTTCAGAGTCACGCCATGCTTATTAAACAGCATTCAGCCTGAGGTTGAGCTCATATGCCTGCCATTCATTTGCTTTTTTTTGCTGTTCTTTTATCCATCAGTATTATTAGTACATTCATGACATAAGTTTGTGTCTGTTACATCAACTTCATACAGTCTGGCTCACTGATGGCCACACCCGCAGTTTATATGCCCAGAAACAGGAAACAGAAAAGAAACCTATTTCAGTCACAATCAAGCAGACTGTATGATGTCTCAACTCTGTCTCCTAGAAATTAGGTTTATATACAACTGGCTTACAATAGTAATATGTTTTGAAAGAAATTAATCAGTAAAATATTCTTTGACAGTGTATTTCATTTGTTTTCTGCCAAAATATCCAGTCTTGCAATATGCACTTATAGTGACTGCCTACAGTGTTACTAAACTGCTTTTTATTGTTGTGTGTTTAGACACTGGCAGCACTTGGTTATGGTTAGGGAAAGATTAATTGAGAAAAAGTGTGCAGACAATGTGTGCATGAACATTTAAGCGAAACCACAATCTTACCCTCTTCTTACCCAAAGCTTTCATTGCCTAAACCACAGACGAGACTCAGGATGTGAACCCTGGTCTCATGGAGTCAACATCCTGCGTTTTATATGCCCACCATCCACCCATTGTGGTAGATAAATGTAGGGCTTCATTCACACACTGCTGTCTGTGAATATGGGCAGCAATTACATTTTACAGCAAAACATAATTGGGGAAATAACTTTTAGGAGACAGGGTTGCATATTCATATATTGTTAATGTAAAAACTGTTGCATAATGAGCTACTTGTGTAGATTTTTGTTTTCTTTATTTGTCTAGTGGACACTGTGTTTTGTGCAATTAGCTCATCATAAGTTAATGCAGACAAAAAGGTGGCTAGGTTTTAGAAAGCAATTTCATTGAGAGTACAGCTCTTTTGAGACTTTCACAGGCCTGACATTAAGCTTCACCAAATTATACATCGCACGTCATAGTCAGCTCTTGTCTTGAAGCACACATGATTTTGCAAAATGATGGATCAAATTGCTCCTGTTCTGTGAGAGCCAACAGGTCCCTCAGATCTAAGCCAACAGCAGCATGCTGGTTTTAAAGAGTCCAGGAGACCCGAAATGACCGATGGATTTGGCCAGCTTTACTTAGCAAGCCTGCCAAACACAGAACATATCAAATGGCTCACACAATCTATCAAGTCAAATAAAAACAGCCAAAATATACATATTTCATGAATGGAAAACACTGGGCAGAAAAAAAGATGATTCGCTAGCCATAATAGCTGAGCATTTTCTGTTGGATTATGCTTGGTGTAAACAAACAAAAATAGCTCCTGTATTGGCTCCATGTCTACACTAAAGCACCCCTCTGACAAAAAACACTTGCAGGTATTGAATTCTATTCAGCGTGGAGATAGATAGAATTACCTGGAGGAAGACGAAGCTGGTAACTACCACCATTATCCTAATAAGGCCATTATACTGGGCTGGCATGTCTCATATGCTGCAAAAGGCCATGTTGCTGGGGCTTGGAGTGAATAATCATCCTGCCCTCCAGTCTGACCGCTGTTCCCTGTTCGCTGCCTACGCAATATCGTTACACCATACCTGGAAGAACTGCCGGCACACTGACAGACAGTTTTCAGTAAACCTTTCGAAACTCCAGAGAGGCTCGCAGGGTAATTCAAGCTGTGTTTGGGAAGCGATGAAGAGGCTGTTGATCCTGTTGCTTTTTCTGTGATGCAAATGTTGCTTTAGCTTTCATGTTTCATGTTTAGAGTAAGTCTGTGGAGAATCTCCAAATGGTCTAATGTACATTTGAGCTTTAGTTCTTTGGTTGTAATTGATCATTTGGTCATATTTTTTTACTTTAAAGATAAAAATGTTTAATTGTCTAAGCTTAGTTAGCTTAATACTGCTCCTGGATATCAAAGATTTCCAGAAACACTGTAACACCACCACAAATAAAACTATGACACCTTTTCATGTATATCTACATTTGTCTGTTCTAAGGTTTGAGGACTGTATTTCAAACTTTAATTTCACTCGGGCTTGCCTTTACGGTCAAAATACTATATCTCTACCCACCTGAATGTGACAGATTCATCTTAACAGAACTTAGGATCTTAGAATAAAAATTAAAAACTATTGCATAATTTTGTCTCTTGTTGTTGTTAATGTTGGGATGGATTACCGTGACATTTGGTACAGATATCCACTGTGCACATGAGATGAATGCTATGACTTTGGTGATCCACTGACTTTTCCTCTAGCACCATCACAAGGTTCACATTTTTGGCCAACGTGCACAATAGCAGCACCCTGACTCTGTTTGACCTGAATGGATCTGAACCTTAATAAGTGTCAGTGGTAACACCTGGGTTTACCCGTACTATATCATGTCAAAATGGCTGCTGTGAAAAAGGTCTATTGTAACGACATTAGAGATCCCTTGACTGTCTGGAATCTAGTGCCATCATAAGGTCATAATTTCAGTTTGTTGAATACTGTGGTTTACAAAATACCTCTAAAGCTAATCAGTTGTTTGGACATAAAATAAATAAATTTAGAAATGGATCTATTTGTTTCATCTTTCCAAACTTTTTCCTGCTTTATTTTTCATAGATTGTTGTTGGTCGTTTCTTTCCCTTCCTCATCAAACAACTTGCAGTTCTATTGTTTCCACTGACTTCATCCTCATTCCGTCAATGAAGCCCATAGAACAAATTTGTTCTCACACTCATGCATTTCAGTACTTGCTGCACTAACATGATCATGTGAAACTTGACTACTCGTCTAAAAATGCCTCTCTGTGGGTTTGCATGTATGCTGGCCTACACAGCGTGTAATTTCCTTCCATCTCATAATTTTCTGAAATAAACTCTGTGCTCTGGTCTGTTGTACTTGCTAACACAATGTCTGCAGTTTCTTGAGGTGCAAGAGGTTGCAGTCAGTTTACTTCTTGACTTGCAAACAAAACAAAAAGATTGCCAGTAAAAGTTAAATCAATTTCTCAAGGACCTCTTTGTATTATCTTTACACTTGTTACACAAAGAAAAACACTTCATTTGGGTATGAGATACAAAGGGCATGAGAGAGACAAGGATAATTTCATCCGTTGTACTGTATTTCTAAATGCCTCTGCCCTCTCTTCCCACATAGTTTTGATGACACACTGCCTCGGAGCAGGCCTTAGTTATTGCCATGTCATGCTCTCACAACCTGCAGTCTAAAGCCTTCAGTTAGAGGAGCCAGGACACACACGACGAGCCAACATGGACACATTTAGGTCAGTATCCATCATGACATTAGGTACACACTGAGACAGCAAACTCACTTGCACATCATGAAATAGCCACTCTCTAATATTCCAGCTGCTGTTCGATTTATGAGGTGGCACAGCTCTGAATTGGACTTCTGTCTCCTCAGAGGCCAAAGACATGCAGCTCAAGTAAAAAAATGAGAATCTAAATTACCTGGAAGAAAGGAACATATATTGAAAGTCTTTTTTAGATAACTATGTGAAATGTGAAACATCTATTTTTTTTTTGTTTTGTCATTATGTGTGTGTCATTAAGTAAAGGCAGATATGGATGGTGTTTGGCAATAATTTGTATGATTTGTTTTGACCTGCTTGGCGTATCACATGGGCGCAGTCACGATTATGTGATTAGTCACGGTCTGATTCTAAATTACAGAAACATGCACACATACACAGCAGAATGAAACATTAGAAATGTTTTGGAAACATGAATTTGTGCTCTCTTTTCATTATTATTGTGCATACATATGCAAACAATTTAAATAATTCATCCACAAGTAAATTAAACAACCATTTAAGTAAGTATATAATTTATTTATCTCCCACAGAAAGTTTCTCACTTATTTGCCATAATCTGTTTAAATGTAATTTATCACAAAGCTTATTAAAAGCTGCGATAACCAATATTTTTATATTAGAAATTGATCAAATCACTACTTGTATGTGAAAGGAGTCACTTGTAGAGACAAATTCAAAGATAGTTATTACTGGACACTGCCTCTCAGTGCTAAGATGTTTTTTAAGCGTCTTTCAGCTCATCGTTTTGGTTTTACGACGTACAACTTTACAGTTTTTGTTCAGTCTGACCAATCTCATATTTGCAGTTTCCAGCAGCAAGCAGAAGTTTTCTATAAAAAAAACTCTGATAAACCCACTGTGTGCTACACGTCCAGCACCAGAGCCAGATACCACAGGAGTTAGTGGAGACCAAAACAGAATTAAAAAGAGCAAGTGCATATTGAACTTACATTCACCTGGTGGCCAGAAACATAACTCAAGACAAATTATGTGTGAATCTGCTAACATGTCTCTCATCAACTTTATATGGTGATAATTATAAGTGTGTTTCCAGCTACTCAACCAAAAAAATCTATGAATGTAGCTATAAGTACCTAAATCTATCACTAGTTACACTTTAATGTTTATTATACTCTGCTGACAGATAGATTATTTTTGTAACATTTCAATAGCTTATTACTTGAGAATCAGCAACTGTTTTCTGATATCACACCACTTCGGTTAGGTTTAGGCACAAAAAACATCTTGGTTCAGGTTTGTTCATGAATTGTACACATATGTGCACATATACTCTATAGATTATGAGTTAAACAAACAGACAAATGTAAACAGTTTAAATGTTACAAATACTCTATCTGTAGGCAGGTTATTAATTTTGACAATTCACAAAGTATGAATTTGAAGATTACATTTAAATACTTATAAAAACCCAGGGGATGACAGTATGTCAAACCTAACAACAAGCCTGTCATGAAAGTTGATGTATTAGCAACAAATAATGAGCAACATGGGCAAAAGCATGCACTGTTGTCATAATGCTAGCTAGATGGATGTAAAACACAAGTTAATACCTAATTACAACACAGTACTCTAATTTTCCCTGAGGAGCTGCCACCACCTTTAACTGCCTGGTATCCATTATGCTTTTCAAATTAAACACTTCCCATCTTACAGCAGAATGAAACCAAGAGAAGAAAAAAAACTCAAATCTGAAAACATATTTAACCCTGGATATACACAATGATTCATTTCTATTTATCATGCTGCCTGCTTCAGTACCGCACATCTAACGTAGCTCCCTTCTCCTCTCCATATGAAGCACCTCAATCACTAAAAACTGTCTATCAACAGCAACACTGTTAAAGAGATGGAGAAGGCGGAAATATTAGGTGCCCACGCATGTGTAGAATAGAGCCATGTTATTCAGTAACCCTCCACCTTCTTTCACAGTATGGACCTACGGTTGTGTGTGATAAAGTGTGAGTTTACTGCTTTCTGCATATGTTGCTGTATCTAAATGGTTATTTGTGGATTGGATGTGACTGACTAGTATATTGGTAAATTCTATGTTCGTCACCTTGCTTGTTTTCCCTGAGACTTCAGATACAATATTGTGTATAAGTGGACAGTGTACATGGTTTGTTAAATTGTTTCTTTATTATGTAGTCCTCTATAATTCCTAGGGTGCATATTTGTTTTGTATGATGTTACGTATCGAAACTGTATGTTTTTTCTGTTTATGTGTAGAAAACCATAACTGTCAAGTCTGATGATCTTCTATTGCTCTACATATGTGCATAGTAGCAATAAACATCAGTTGTCCCTCCTACATCTTTATCGATGTGCCATGGTGATGTTCAATTTCCTGTGAACCAATCCTATAGAAAGATTTTACAGCATGAGTAAAGCCAGCAAGCTGCGGAAAATGATAATGAGTGAAGAGCTCGGATATGAGCCAGAAGATACGCACTAGTACTGTAAAGGGTGTGTATGTGAGAGTGTGACAGACAGACTGGCGCTAGCTAATTAATTCAGATGGCAGGTGGAGGATGTTTTGTATTGGGTATTCATTAGCAGCCATTGACAGGCAGGTTTACTTCAGACACCTCTCTGAGGGCTCGACCAGCAGCACTACAGAGGGAGTTAGGTAAGGTGGAGCGGATTGAAAGGTAAAGATGCCTGAGCAATCTGCATTTGTGATCAATGCTTACTCCTAATGGGAGCTGACAGTATTGATCCAAAAATCTGGCAGTAAAGGAGGAGTGTGTGTTATTATATGTGTGTGCGGGCCATCAGGAAGAGTCTTATCAAGAGTATCCTGGAAGCAGTTGGCTAACTAATGTGCAATTGCGACTTGCTGTCTGGTCTGTCTTGTCTTATCTCACAGTGAAATGGCTTTTTAGAGGCATGTATAAAGAGATAGCTGCAGGTCTGCATGATGAGCACTGGCAAAAGGTGGAGCTGATCATAGCAGGGGTGTGTCTAGAATGAAGCAAGGGGTGGAGATGCAATATCAAATGCAGCTGCCTCTTCCAAAGACTGGGTGGGGGGGCTGTGTGAAAATTGCAAACCTAAGAACATAATACATCATGCTGCTGATTTGTCACTGACGTCAGGATCTCCGACCTCACAGGTTTTTGCACAATGAAATGCGTCAGTGGTTCATTTCAGACAGATACATTTCAGTGCGTGTTGGCAGTCCCAATCTTGCTCCACCCAAATGACCAGGGTGGTGTAAACCATTGTTAGCAGCACAGAGGCAGTACAGTGTCCACTATGTCCACAGTACCTTGGCAATGATGCTGCAGAGCTGAGGTCCATCCTGGGTGAGGGACAGCAGGTTGCTAATGGCACTGCCGATGGTGTGAACATTGTCTGATGAGTCAATCTGTTTGATCAGGACCTGCACGGAAGAGCAAACATTGCCTAATTTTTATCACGGACGAAATGCAATTCACATTGTCAGTAGCTTTTGCCTTTAAATAGTGTTTAGGTATCTTTAAAGTTGTTTTTTTTAAAGACACTAATTTATTTAGTTATTTTAGTTAATTAGTTATTTTTCTGTAATCATAGCATCTTTCAAATGATCCTCACAAGTGAAGTTAAAAAAATTATTACTTTCCATGAAGATCCAAGAACTTCCAAGATTAAGTTATTAAACCTATAAATAGTAATAAATGCTGTGTCTATTAACTCTGTCTCGCTGAAGATGATGTAGTCCTGTCCTGCATGTTTACATATCATTTCAACCTTTTATACTCCAAGTGAAAGAACTGGGTAACATTGTTTTGCACGTGCACCTGAGGCTTAGTTAAAAAATTGGCACTGATAGCCTCAATTCCAACACTTGACAGAAGACATGTGAAGGGGCTAAAATAGAAATACATTTCTACATATAGAAGGAATATATTGGATGAATATCTCAGAGCTGGGGGTTATAATTCATTTGCATACCCGAATCTCATTGGCTAAAGCCATGTCAATCATGTTGCTGAAGGAATCGCTGACATCTGTAAGGATCTCATGGATGGCCTCCCTCATGGACTTCAGGAAGAATTCATCATCAGTGTGAAGGCACCTGTAGGCAAAAGGACATTTTAAATTATGTTCCACATAAACATACTTTTCTCATTTTTTCCTATGATTGTCTGTTAGCCTTTTAGAGTTTTACCTCTCTGTAATATTGGTCAGCTCCATACATTTTTCCAGCAGAGATTTCTCATACTGCAACAAAAGAAAAAGAAGAAACATAGAATGCTGTGATAAAACACATACAAAGGAACACACAGATGAAGATAAATGGCTTTGTGATTGTTTATGCTATAAAGATAAATGAGAAAAAAAAACAATCTGCAATCAGCAGAGCAGCCCCATGAAACAATATAGCAAGACCAGAATGTGCTCTTTACACATTGTTGCTGTTTTGTCTTGTTATTAACTTATGGCACTGTCATCTGCCTGGCCTTTGAGATCAAAAGGTTTTCAAAACCTGAGGGACACAGCATCATTGTTGATTATTTGTCTGCAAAGATCTGATCACTTTAGAATCTAATTTGCAAGTTTCGTGTACAATGGCCCTAAGAACTCAACCCGCTACAACTTAAAAAAGAAATGAAACAAGCTTTTGCCATAATCACTGATGACTGATATCAATATATTCATGGAGGAAATATGATTACAACTTTTTCACTGCATGAATTTGAAGATTTTTTTAGTTTTGCAGTGACACTGCAGTTGATGGCTTTTGGACTTTATAATGTTAGAGTTGTGAGCCAAAGCAAGATATAAATCATTCTAAAATTAGACTTTTTTATTTTTACAGCATGAAAAAATGTTGTGTCAGGAAGTTTCAGTGCCTGTTTTTAAAACTTCAGCGCATTATCTTCCTTTGTAGCTTCCTACTTTGTGACTTTGATGTTTTAAAAGCTTCAATAAACACCAAACTGTCTTCACATGCCAAGTCACCTTCTGCATCTCAGGTGGTGTGCTTCGGGCGGCGCTGTACTCATGCACCAGTGAACGCACGTGGCAGTTGGCCCTTACGGCTGTGCTGTGGACCCTCTGCCAGCGTCCTTTCTCCAGTCGCTGGAACATCTTCCCTAATTCCGTGCTGACCACCAGCGCTCGGCGAAGGAGTGTCTGCAGGTTGTTTCTGGCCACGTGGTCCCCTGCACCGACCCCGGAGGCAACAATCAGCTCTCCCTGCTGAGAGTCCTCCTCCACCCCGATGGGTTTGGCCTGGAGGACACACATACACTCTACCTCGGTCATGTGGCGGAGGTCCTCCATCCAGCGCTGGACTGAGTCGACCTGGAGAGACTGCATGCGGGTACTGTGAAAGAAATGAACACAGAAAGATAAAGCAAGTCAGAGATGAAGATGGGTGATTTAACATCAGGATGCTTGTTTCCTGCATTTATCTGATTATCTGATTATCTTTATATATACTCTGTTTGCATGTGTTTATAATGATGACCTAGTTGGATACATAGATTCGACCTCATCTGATGAAAATTCAGCTTCCTGCTTCTGAATTGATCTGGTGATAGGAAATCAACATAAATTGACTGGTTTCATAGAATTTGCTTATTATTGTTATAAAAATGAAAAGTACAAATTACTGCACAAACCGAACTACATGCATTGCAACAAATCTACACGTATCATACAGATACTTATGTTGAGGACTGTATTGTATGAGATCTGGGAAGTCATTTGTGCTGACTGGCCTGCTGACTTAAGCCTGAACTGATTTATATGAGAAAACTTTGCCTCCTCCACAAGAAACAACATGCTTAATCAGTAGAAAACTAAGGAAGTGGTTACTCATAAATTCAAACTGGTTATGAGGACAATGACAGATCATTTAACTTGGCTGTGCCACCCTCGTCCTTTCTGTATTTCATTCATCCTTCTCTTTCCAATTATTTCTTCAATTTTATTAGAAAGTAAAGGTTATAGTACAGATTTGGAATGACAAAACTAAACAATAAGAGATATTTGATATTTGAGGAGTTTTGAGGATGATGCTTTTTTATAATCACCTGCTGCAAAAAAACTGATAGTATTGAGTCCTATGGGGACATGACCCAACTTCTCACTTGATTTGTTACCTCATTAAACAGTTTCTTGACGACTTTACAGTTTTAATCTTTAGCTTCAAGTCTTATACAGTATGTTAATTTTTAAGCAGGGTATGCTTTAGGGTGTGGATATCTTGTGACTGACAAGTCATTCTCAGGGAGTGTGTCCAGTGCAACGCACAAAACTCAGATCAAACTGTCAAACTAGGCAGTGCTGAATATGAATCAAGATTGTGTTACTACATTTCTCGCTTAAAATCTTTTCAGAAACATATTTTAGTGTACTGTTTATCTGTAATGCGAGAACGTTTGTGACCTGCAATTGTTTCCTGCTACGGAAGCGCACCAACTGAGCACAGATCCACTGGCAGTGCGTCACCGCCGCTGGCAGCAAAAAAGCAAAATGGCAACAACAAACATAATGCCAAACTCAAGGCTTCAAAACACTTCTCCCAAAACCAATGGGTGACGTAATGATAGGTTCATACTTGTTACAAAAGTGAGTCAATCTCCGTGGCCAAGACCCCATATCGAAATGTCCGACTTAACAGCAGAAATAAACATGTTTACAGCCTGGTACAAATAAACCATTTTGGTCTCTATAGCTAATTTCTTCAACTGTACAGGCGGTGAATTTTTATATAACTTAACCGTTGAAATTATATTAAGGCTTAAAGTTCCAGTGTGTAGGGTTTAGTGGCTTTAAACTTTAAGCTTTAAACTTCAGCTTGTCTTTTTTTCAGTCTGAATTTGCATGATATGCAGTGTAGCCATCAAATGCACATTTAAGACCATTTCATGGTTTTTAGTATCAAATGAGTCAACTGAAAATCAACTAACAGAGTTAATGTTAGTTAGCCAGTAAGCATAGTTATTACAATGTGCTAGTGACAGTTGTCATTTTAGTCTGTTTTTGTCTACTGCTATCTAGGACCCATTGTTTCATAATTTATAAAAAAAATTGTGAGAGGTAAATCTGCCACTGTTATCAGTGTAAACTGCTTGGTAAATTGTAAAGCTAAAGGTGCAGGGTCAGTTCCAAAATTATTAATCTGAGAGTGATATGTTGTTTATTTAATGTCAAAATCAAATGAACCACTCTGCTTTAAAAGTTGGAATAAAATGCTTTTTTTCATGAGTAGCCTATGTGAGTCTAAAATGGTCATTTGAGACCTCATACATGGATAATAAAATCCCCATTCCTCTCATAAAATTCCATCTATGCCACGCAATCAGAAGGCAAAAAGATAAAACAAATAAAAACCCACAGCATTCCTAAAATCAATGATGTGCACTATGGGTCAATTATCCACCTATAACTGCCGGTTTCCATGTTTAACCTTTCATTTTCCCTCAGCATGGAGACGGCTTTAATAACGGGCTGCACCGAGCAAACACTTCTCCCCACTTCAAGCTGTCCCAGCATTGACCCTAATGAACACAGGCTTAAGGGAGCAAACCAGAGTCCTGCACCCATCGAGTCAAAGCTCCCGGAAAGTGGACGGGTCGATGGCTACAACAGCCACCTCTGCTTTGAGTCGACACAAGGGAAAGGGTCTATGAAGCCTGATATTTTCCTCTTGGCTCTCAATTGTCTGCAGTTTGCTGGGAATGGCAGCTTGTTGGAGACATTGGTAAAGTGCATTGTTATTGAATATTGGTTAATCTGGTTCAAGAGAGACATTGTGGTTGTGTGTACACTCAAAACTAAAATTTGTCATCAGCCAGCAAAAATATCTTTAAGGCAGATATTGGGTTTCAGCTTTTAGTCAGAGCTGGTTACATAAGACTGAATCACTGGAAAGCCACAACTCCAATTAAATTTAATCTACTATCAAACCACACAGAGGGCAGTTGTTTAGTGAAGAGTTTTGTTAAGGTCAGAAAAAGGGCTCATTCAAAGCTGAAGCACATTAACATAGCTGACACGTGAAGACATGAACATAAATTGCTCTTCTTAAGCAGCCAGTTTTACCATAAGAAAAAAAAAAAGAAAAGGGAGAAAATCAGAAGGAAATTACAATTAAAAGGTTTGCTATACAGGGAAACTAACAAACTCGCAAAGAGCTGAAATTGGTGGCAATGATAAAAAAATAGATTGATAATGATGATAAGAAATTATATTAGAGGTGAAACCTTTTTTCAACAAAAAACTAAAATCTAAAAATGTATCAGTTCACATTATTTTGTCTAAGCACATTTTTTCCACTTGTACTTTTTTGAGTAAAATATTGAGAATGGAGCACAAATGTACACACAGACACACAAATGCACATGCTGTGTATATGTATATAAATTGTACATTCAGTCAATCATCCGTCAGTTGAGGAGGCTGAATAACAATGTAAAAGTAGTCAAATCTGTAGGTTGCAGTGTGAGGAAGCTCACCAGCTCAAAACTCTCTGCAGCAAATAAATCTCCCTCAATTTGGAAAAAGATGAAGGTGTAATTAGCTGTAAATGTAGACTAGAATAAATAACTGCACAGTGTTAAACAGTGTGGTAATTATTAATGTGCAGCTTGTTCGGCTAAGTGGAGTAAATGGCTTCATGGTGATCATTGTGACTTCTGAAAATGGATGAGATATGAAATTTAGTTTAAAATTTAGCCGATTAAAGAAATACATTTCATCTAAATGTTCCTTGCAAATAAAATACTACTGAACCATGCTTCAGTTTTTTTCTCATGTTCAAAAACCTCTTAAAAACCACTCCAGTTCTCAAAATGCCTCCTGTTAGAGATTAATCATACAGTGATGAAGAACACAGTGACTCAAACTAAATTAGCCACAAAGAGCTCACAGAGTCACTGCCATGGCTGAAGAGGACATGGAAAGAGCTCTCAATTCTTAATTGGCAACATTCCCCTATACATAACACCCAATTAACATTTTTTGTGGGAGACCAATGTGGGGGACACAGAAACAGAGAAAATGTACAGACTTGAAATTTTTGAACAGGCTACCTAATCAATCTAAAATGTACAACAATATGCAAAATCCTCTTCATATCCGACCCAATGCGGCCATTTAAAAACATTTTCCACAGTTATATAAAAGCATCACATAATGATGATTTGATTTACACGCCCATCAAGCCACAAAACCTTCCCCTTACCGTGGGGGAAAAGCAGATGATAATAATAGGCTTGTTTTCCAAAGGAGGGAAAGCGGTGCACTTCAGCTTGCAGGGAATGACAAATATTTACATGTGGGGCCAAGAGAGGGTCAGGCGAAAGCAGCTCTATTATCCCAGGCAGGGCTCCTGTGGAGATGAAGCATCACTCTTTCTCATCTGCTGGTGTCTGTCAGTAAACTGAGCAACAGTGGCAACAGCAGGAGCTGGTTAACAAGAGATATCCTTGTTTTTGTTTTGAAAAATGCTACTGCAAGATTTAAACATATTTTTGCACCAGGCTTGGAAGTCTATTAATTTCTCTGTCTGTGTTTGATATTAATTTTCTGTGTATATTATGGAGATACTGTTTTTTAAAACATAATTGTGAGGGGAATCTCAATTTAATCAAACCAGATTTATTAAACAAATGTGAGTTGAAATGACATGTAATGCTCACCTGAATTTTGCAAGTCAGTCATATTATAAGGCAATATATAATTCAAGCCGGGGATATCTGAAGGAGTCTTTGGTTCTTTCCTACAGGGCTGCCTACACAGCTCTCAATAAAACTTTATGGAGTGCCAGAACTTTTAGTGCCAAAGACATGAGAGGGAAGACGAAAAGTGAGAGGCATAACACATAGTTTGTTTTGGTCTTTTCACAGGATTTGTTGACAGTTACGAAAATACAGAATAGAATCAGCAGCTTTATGCGTTAAAAAGGGGATCGAAATGTGCGTGCTAAAGAATAAATAATTGGAAAAGGAATTTAATTGATCTAGGTGGGATTGTAATGGGTAAACACGACATTTAAAGAACATGAACCATGAAAAATAAATCTTGAACCTCAGGTAGAAAGAGCAAAAGGCTAAATTACATAACTTTTGTATGAAAACAAAAATGAAATACAGATATATGTCGGAAGTGAGGTTGGTGTGCTAATTTAGTGTCATAGTGAGCTCATTCTTCCTGTAACACATCAGTAGAAAATGATAGATTGAGCTTTTACATGATTCACTTTTTCAACTTTTCATACGCTTGAGAGACATGGAGTTGTTCTGCTGGATGAGTCACCGAGAGGCTGCTGCTCTGACTGTTCAACTCCATAATCGTCTATCCCTGAGCTCAACTCCACATTTATGAAAGAGAGAGGTTTGTGACTGCAGAGTCCGTCTGTGTGTGTGTGTGAGTGCTAAGTTGGATTTAGGTTTAAGGTTAGAGTTTGAGTTAGGTTAAGGGCTGTTAGGCATGTAGTTGTATTGCTTGGCTGTGGGGGGGTTTAAATTGATACAATTGGCCTAAAAATGATTAAGAATGGTGTTTTGAATGGCTTGGCGGTGAAGACAGTGACTCATCACAGACATATACCGATATGCTGACATCCTCCAGACCACATGATAAGCATTTTCTATTACATTTTCAAGATGTAAAATCTCTCTCATATGAACCTCACAGTAACCTAGTGTATTTTCAAAAGCACTGTGGTGGCTACACAACTTGCACAGAGCAGGAAAGGCTCTCTCTAGTGCCAGTGTTTGCTTTGTCCCTTCAGGGCTACTGTAGAAATATGGTGGTTCAACATGGCGGACCCGCTCCCTCTGTAGATAGAACAGCTCATTCTATTTCCAGGTGATTATACACGAATGAAAACATACCAACGAATATCATATTCCTTTTCTGCTACTAGATCCTCCTAAATGTTACACACTAGACCTTGAAAAAATACAGAAATTGAATCTTCACACCGTGTCCACAAAACAGAAATGTTTTAATTGGCTAACAGAAGGGCAGGCTCTGGGGTATGCAACTGTTCATGTTACAAATGAATGCACTCACGGTACAGTACAGTGAGGGGTTTTGGATAAAAGCCCTCACCAAATGTTTTAAAACATGTGGAATTGTCCTACAACTGCATGCAGTATCACTGGCCAGCCAAGCAGCTTGTTTGGAAAAAAACACAGCAACATGTGTTAATTCACGCTATTATTTCTGTTTTGGATCTGACTGGATTCACTTCAAAAACACAGTTTACTGATATGGAAGCCATTCAGCACAATATAACCAGGATGGAGCCCTTCATGACCGTCCAGTGTCTGGTTTTCATGAATATCACAGTCTGACGCCTGATGTCACTTATGAACAAATGGAAATCTTTCTGAAATACCACAACAGAACCGCAGTCCAATGGGGCAGAGTGAATGGAAATGTGGGCAGAATGAGCTGCGAGATTTTTAGGATCAGACCATTGTGGCTTTGGCTTCCACTGAAGGAGGAAACAAGGACACTCTTGTCCCAGAAAGAATTAAATATGGAGGCATATATACAAAGAGACCAAATAGGATGTTCATGCATTCCTCGTCTGCTTAAAAACCAGAATATTGCTAAACAGAACTCTCTGAACAAAGCTTTTTACACAGAGCATACAGCTGCACTGAAAACTGCCTCGCTGTGTGGAGAGGTGACAGATGAGCCAAGAAAATGGTAAAAGCATATGGCTAATGGTACTTTTGACTGTGCAAGTCACGCCTTGATCTTCTGGGCAAAGGTCGGGTCTGTGCTCCTCCCGAAGTAGCAGCATGGTAAGGGGATATTGTGGCCTCTGACTGGTACAGTTGAATCCTGGCAACAGGGAGACATCTGACTCCCAGATGTTATAGACGGCCTCTAATGTGCCGCCAAGACTCACCTAAAACAGCACACACTGAGTCAGTTTCTCTGTTGTTCTCTGTCTCTTTCTCTTTCAGTCTAACCAACTCTAGCTTAATTGACTCCGTCGTTTGTTCTCTCTGACTCACACCCATGCCCTCTCACATGTCTGTTTACATGCACCAAAGGCGTAAAAGTACACCTACTACAGGCATATGTGCAAGACATTATACTGTGGAATATCTTTTTCTGTGTTTGAAACCATCTCCAGCCGACTCGTCTCTCACATTTTTCACTTTTTTTTCTCTTTCGTTTTTCTCTCACACTTTTTCCCTCACAACAGCAAACCCACACTTGTGCAACTTTCAACATGCCTGCATGGGCTGCAAACACAAATTTGCAACATAAAAAAACAAAAAAAGTACACAGACAAATGACGGCACAGAAACTTGGTTAACCTGCTCGCAGACTGTAACCCGAGGCCTGGATTGTCTAGATAAGCCAATCTGGGCAAAGCGCTAGTTCTGTTGTGGAGATGTTTGTCATCTGAGTGCATGCGTGCGTTCCATCTGTGTTTGCAATTTATTTTAATACAATTCAGTCATTTGGCTCCTTTCATCAGTAGATTTACTGATTGTTACTGAGCCATGCGTTGCACAAACAGGATTTATGTTTGAGTGTGTATATGAGGGACACACAAAGAACGCAAGTAGGAGACGATCTGTTTGTTTATGTGTGTGTCTCTAGTTGCCTATGTATGGCGTGACAGCTGTACTGATTTGATATCCAAGGGCACGCATTACGCCTCCTCTGCAACGCTGTGTAAGCATTTGTAAAAACAAAACTGTCAGAAGATATATATTCAAATGTATTATCGACGACTGAAATATACTCAACCACAGCAGCTGATGAAGAGGCTTTTCCCAATTAAAAAAAAAGAACCATCAGCAATGCTATAAATCACTGCTGTGTGATAAGAGTTTTGTCTTATGTATTTCCAAAACAGAGACTTTTCTGGAAATCAGGAGCAACAAATGAAGGTTTTAAAAACATACAACGGGTTTTGGATGAATTTTCTTTCCTCCTGTCTTTGTTAATAAAATACGAGGAGTGAAACATCAGCTAAAGAAAAATAAACTCAAGCCTCCAGCTTGTGATGAAGGCTGTATAGTTGATAGTTCAACAGTTGAGGGAGTCCAGTTTAGCTCAGCTGGCAGGTTCGTGCTCTTGTCAACCTTTTGTGACAGCTAGACAGTGTGGAAGCAGCACTGCTCTGTTTTTGTGTCAGTTTCTGATTGTTTAGTGTGTGCACACTTCTATTTTTTTTTTTTTTTTGCAACATGTGTCTGATTTTTTTGCATTTCTGGTTTCAACCTCTGGCTTTTGTGGGCTGATATGCACCTCAAATATGGAATCCAATTGTGGACAGATGTTTTCAGGTCATGTGTGCGTGGTGGAGAGTGTGGGAATGTGTGTTTTTGTATGTGTTTGTATTGTCACTAAGGTTTTGACCTTTGCACTTCCTGCTATTGACCGCCTCTAATTTGTTGATCTAGGATCCTGACAAGGACCAATATATTGCTTTGGCGATGTTGAACCAACAAACATCAGCCGGTAAATATTTCCCAAGGCAGATATGAAGGAGGTGAGGATTGGATTTTTCTCAGCAGCTTCAGGGGTGTCGGTCTGTAAGAGCTGCCTCACCTCACCCTTTCTCAACACACACAAACCATCTTCAGTAATGTAGTCTGAGTCTCAGTTAATTTCCAGTGTTGTGTATCATGCAGACATACAAATATAAATATGTGGGAAACATTCATTCTAGGGAATTATTGAGCAAAAATATGAACATTGTCAAATTTAAAATGCACAGATCTATATTCTTTGGGTATAAAATGGATGAAATGACTATGTATAATGGGCAAGGGGTTTGCTCATGGTGACGAACCTACAAAATTAACCCAATTTGGCAGTTTTTGTCAGCTCGGCAGATGCAAAATTTTTCATCTTATTGTTTTGGTTTTACTGCCTACTACTTTACAGTTTGTTCCAATCGTATCACTATCATCAACAGGAGTTTGCAGATGTTTCCAGGTACAGACAGTGCAACTAGCTGGTAAACAAAATGGAGTACTTAGAAGCTAAAGAGCTGGATAGCAGATCAGACTAAAGCTAAAAGGAGAGGGGATATTGGATTTTTTTTCGCCAGAAACTCCAAATGTTAATTTGCTAATGATGCTCTGTGTCTTGATAATATGTTAATTTTGTTTTACAACTTGTTCTTCTGCTCCCTATTGGCAAAAAAAAAATTAAAAATGTATGTTGCTTTAAGTAATCTCACTGAGACTGCAGATATGATTAACAGGAGAGACCTTTGGTTGCCATAACTTAAATAGGTCAGCCAAAGACATAAAAAAAAAATGTATGCAGGTGTTCGAATCTGTCACCAAACATCCCTGTGATACATTCACCTCCTTACAAACCAGAGAGGACAACCAATGACAACTAGACCGACACCACTGTAAACCTCAATCTCTGCTCCTGTGAGAGCTGCCACCATTACAGTGCATTATCAGAAGGAGATGAGGGCCAAAGTATGCCGTATTTGTTGGGGGCCTCATCTGCAGATAAAACAAGAGGGTTATTTTTTGATATCATGCTTATTATTGCCAGTATGTTGTGTTTGTGTGTTTCTACGTGTGTGATGTGTCTGATGTGTCTTGATGTGAAATTCTGGCAAAACAGATTGTAAATCTGTGAATGTTTCCTACCATCTATTATCTTTACTCAAATATATTCAAGATGACCTGACAAGATACATAATTAATAACCAAGCATCTGGAACTGTGATAGGCATAAATCGTGACATTTCATTGCTGCTTCCCACTTAAGATGCCATTTGTATTTTTTAATGAGTGAATGCTCTAAACACATGTAATGAAGAGTAGCAGCTATGGCTAAAACAATTCCTCTTACTAAAAACCATTGATGCAATTTCTATGCATCAAAGCTTTATTTCATCCATATAACTATATACAGCGTACTGTGTTTTGCACCGAAGAGAAGAGAGAGAAAATGGCAAGAGACTAAGAGGAAGTGTCCAAAGTTTGGGATCATTTAAAGCTGAAACTAAACGAAAACTCTGTAAAGTGTATCTATTGGAAACCCAAACTAGCCTAGCACAATAGCTGTCATAGCAAATAGTAACAATAGCACAAAAACTTGTGCTTCATGGAAAAATACCTAACCTATTGTTTAAAAGTAAATGTTTGATGGTTTGAGCAGCACATAAGAAATTCCAATCCCCCTTCACCATCCTGGGGTGTCAGCAAATAAAACTAAAACTAGCCTGATACACACCACCTGGGGTAAGTAGGAAACATTTGTTTTTTTGTGCTACTTGCCTCATAGGGGATGAAGAGAGCGAGCTGCTCTGTCTAGAGCTGCTCTGAGGAGTCGCCATTCTGTCCGAGGCCATCTTACTTCAGCACAGCACCTGAAACACCAGATATTGAACATAAATATAAAGCGTCTTTTACAGTCACCTCAGACTACTACTATACATTACTACTAGAGCTGTCAAACGATTAAAATATTTAATCGCGATTAATCGCATTAATGTCATAGTTAACTCGCAATTAATCACATGTTTTTATCTATTCTAAATGTCCCTTGATTTCTTTTTGTCCCATTATTTTTTTTCTCATTTTAATGCTCTTATCAACATGGAAAAGTGGATCGGCTTGCTTTGTGCCAATGTTGCTTTTATTGAAAACAACATTGGCATATACTGTAGTGTTCAATTTCACACTAACATCATCCATTGTCGCCTGGCTTTGACGAGGGGGCGGAGAATTCGCATCAGCTGTGTGCTTGGCCATGAAGTGGTATTTCAGACTGGACGTGCTGCGATTCATAGCTCAGTTCACAACGACAAAACACACAGATCACTTTGGTCTTGTCAATGGGACCATTTGGCAACTTTTTAAAAGTAAACTTTCCATTCAGAATATTATTGGCATCCATTTTGGCGTCTCGCACTCGCCATCCACTCAAAACGTAATGTCTAAGTGTGTGCGGCGTGCCTGTTGTTCTGTTTCCGGTCTAGCTAGATCCGGTGTGGTGTTGTAGTTTTTCTAACGTTACTAGTTGTTGCAACAGCATGTGAAAAAAACTACGAAGTGTGCTAGGCCAAAAAGAACGTTAATGTCGCGGTAAAAAAATTGACGCCGTTAAAATGGGTTTGCGTTAACGCCGTTAATAACGCGTTTAACTGACAGCACTAGTTACTACACATAAACATTCAACACACACAGTGAACACAACATGCACACACACACACACTGCATCCTCCTGGCTGGGTTTTTGGCCACCGCAGTGTTATCCACTACAATATCTCCTTATTGATCCGCCTCCAAGCATTCTATTCTTGTCTTGCGTTTTTTTCTCCAAGTAATTCAATTATCAATAAACCTCACTGTTTTAAATAGCTGCAAGCCGCTGGTGTGCCAGTAGAATAATATTTCTTATCTTCTAATTTATTGGCTGGCTGCCAGCCAGTGACTCTCTTCCCTACTTTGAGCCTGAGCAAAAGAGGCTGACGCTCTTAAGTGCCCGCAACTTTATTCCGCTGTTTTATTGATGTATCCCATTTAGATTAGTCCATTTTCAATCGGGAGAAGCCACAGACGCCCTCCTGAACCACACTCTAATCCTTTTAGTTAATGATATCCTGCAGTGGTGTGGTTACAGATTTCATGTTTACTGTGCAGTATAATTAGCAGGTAGTTACAAAGTGAGACTGTCTCTCTCTCAGGCACACACAGCCTCCCGATGTCACGGAGCAGGTTTCAGCTGTGGTGACCTGCTTTTTATTAAATGCTTCCAGAGTGTTATAGGATCGATAGACGTAAACAGGAGAACTCACAATAAGGCAATTGATAATATGAGGGATGTTTGATGCACGTGAGACGTCACTCGTTTGATCCCATTTTGGTCTTCTTTTTCAGTGCTGCAGTGTTCGAGCTCAAATGCCACGACGACAGAACAACTGATCCATTCTGCAGAGTTCGGAGATGAAGAGGATCAGGCACAACAGTGCATTAGAGGAGTCACCGATTCTGTTTTACTGTTTGCTTCGATTGCTCCGAAACTCCCAGGATTACGTAATTATGAGCAACCAGGGAACCATATGATGATGGATGAGGGGAAAAGACAGGTTTTTTTCGGGGGTGAGTGACTCAGTCAGTGACTGTGATTAATAGATACCCAGACAAATGAATAGGTGAAGAGATAGACCTGTAATACAGATACCAGCAAAAAAGAAGAGGGAGAGAGCAGGAAGACGATGCAGAGAAGGAGAGAAAGGGGGAGTGGAGGGGGTCTTTTAACCGCAGTCTTGGCATGGCTCCTCCAGGGCCATTTTCAGAGAAAGCATCACAGCGAATCAGAAATTATACCAATACTGTGCCAGGTCCATGGAAGTCTGGGAGACTGGCTGTAAGCACCCTGTTTTGGGGCAAAAAAAAAAAAAAAACACATCTACACACTCAATGCAGTTAGAATAAAGTACAATAGAATATCATGGAACGAGGGCTGATATAATTGCATCATTATTAACACCATAGAGGTGTGGATAAATTATATTTGGCCAATAATTGAGCAAAGGGTCACCGCCAACGCGACACAGATCTTCCAGATTCTATTATATGTGCCTCCAGCTCATTACAGTGCTCTTCTGTGAATTACCATACAAATGGAGATAAGTTGTCCAATCAAGCAATTCAGTCCTGAGCACTTAGAGTGTGTCGCTAAGTGCCATGTTAAGGACCACTGCGCTGAAAGTGATCTCTTTCAATCTGCGGTGAATGGCCAACAACTGCAAATGCTGCATGAGAGAGGAGCACAGAAGGTTTTTAGCAAAGTGTCAAAGTTTACAGCAGGTTGTTGGTGTTTCTTTTACTGTCTTATGAACTGATTTAGTTTTGGTGCAGACTGTACTGAGCGCTCTGTTATGCTGTAACAACAGCTGAAGTTTCACCTTCTTTTCTTCTAAAGCAAGACTATTTCCGCAGTTTAAATATTCCTAAGTGCATGAAGGTTGCAAGTGCTACAGAAATATGAGTTTCCTAAGCAGATGGTCAGCTTTGACGGGATCCTGGCTAATTTTCTTGCTGGGGTGGACATTTCTTTTCATGTCTAGGCTGAAACCTGAGTGGCCCTGTGGGTTTCCCCACTCGGTTGCTGTGGAGAACGTGTCGGTTGTAGGTAAGTCAAACAAAGGACATCTCTGTCTCAGCCTCATGTCACATGCCGGGTAAAATAACAACCACTCAGTAACTTGTGTGTGTAAGGGAAATCACTATGGTATCCTTCCAGATTTACAGCAGGGCTTGTGTTTATTCGTTGCATGTGCATAGAGGGGCATTTAAATCTTGGTGTGTGCTTGTGTGCATGTTTCTGTCAGGTGCAGTTTTTCAGTGATGTTTCATGTAATGTCTGTCCCTAGTTAGTCACACTATCTGCTGCATTTAATTTAAAAGTCATCTTTTTTATTTGAGCTCAGTAGCCTTGATACATTTTGCCTGTGTAGCTCAACTGCTTGACTAAGCTTGAGGAGAGAAAATGCTTTAATATTTAAAACAATGTAATATTATTGTTTATATAATATTTCTGTTTCATCTGCTTTCAATGGACACGTTTTCCACCAACCCAAGACTGCCACTGTTTAAAGGGGAACTTCGCAACTATTTCAAATCAATAAACCAGTTTAGAAATCATTTGGATGGTTAAATGGCCTGTTCCGGTGAAAATGGTGACTTTCCCCGCTCCCACTAGCGTCCCCAGGCGGAAAACCAACCTTGCAACTTTGGGACTACCGTCCCGTTAAGTTGGAAATACGAAGTATCGTGAGAAGCGAGAACGAGCAAGAAACACAAACTGCTTTACGGCAATTCACCATAAACGCACACGCCCCCCTCAATACCGGTTAGCCACGCCGGCTATAAGAACAAGCGACGATGAGTGTATTACCCACCTCGGTAGACATTGCTCCACACGAAAAAGTTGCCCGGCAACAAATGCACATCAGCAGCAGTAGAAAGGGGGAGGAGGGTGCCGCAAGTGAGTTTTTTTACGACAGTGTTTTGAAATATACATCCCAGAGCTGTAGGGGGAGCTCGTTGAGAAAACATGCTGCGACAAAAGTGAAAACCAGCGAAGAAATGGCTCGAGTTGCCAAGTTCCCCTTTAAACAACCCCAGTTAGAAAAACTGACCACTGTCCAGTAGCCAGCTATGACAATGGACTTTCTCTTGTCAATCTCTAGAAGCTGTAACAATAGCACACCTTCTAACCTTTTCCCAAAAGGGGAAGATAATTATTATGTAGGATATGGGATAAACAGATAGGATGATATACACCGATCAGCCATAACATTATGACCACCTGGGCACCCTGGTGGACATCGCAATTTGGCTCTTTTCAAAGTAGCTCAAATCCTCATGCTGCCCATTTTTCCTGCTTCTAACACATCGACTTGAGGACAAAATATTGATGATACTTGCTGCCTAATATATCCCACCCACTGACTGGTGCCATGATAACCAGATAATCAGTGTCATTAACTTCACCTGTCAGTGCTCATAATGTTATGGCTGATTGGTGTATAATCACTGTGCTACCTTTGTAAAAAAAAATTGAATGGGAGTATAGTTTTTTAAATGCTAACAAAGTGATTTTTGATTAAGTTTGCATTCACATGTAGCAAGTAAATGCAAGTGTGTTTTAGAATAGAGTTAATAAACTCCAGGAACCTCTGGTATTAAAGTTAGAGGACTTGTGACAGACTTATCGGAATTGGCACCAGAGCTATCCTCCCCTTTTGGTCTCTACATGCTTGTTACTGTCGTAGTTCATTCTTAACAAACAAATAAAGGAACATATGCGCAGACCAAGTATTCATTGTCCGCTGACCTCATTGTCTGTGCTCTCCTAAAGAAATCACTGGTTAAAAATAAATTTCCAGCCCTTTTTATATTATTCTGTGGTGAAGCAGAATGCCTCTCACAGATTCTGGGTAAAACCGCTGCAAGAATACAAAAACTGGTCTGCAGAAAACAAAATACCACAACACTGTGGCTTTGCTTCAGTGTTGTGCCAAAAGCAATGAATTTCTGCTTGACAAAAACAGATGAAATTAAACTGAGAAAATCAGGAGAAACAAGCAAAGCCACTCACCATTTTGAGAAGCCAAAAACAGCCTGAATCACTGTGATGGAGTTAAGGATAGAGTGAGTCAGGCTGTGTACTCCAAGTTTAATATCCTTGCTGTTTCAGGAGTGCCTCATTGTGTAACCGATTCCTTATGGTTTGGCTTTATTTCAAAACTGCCAACAATTAAATACAAAATGCTTCTTCTCCTACAGCTGCCCTAACTCACACAGACTGAGGAAAGTATCTACTAAAGACGTTGTCTCTGGCCTTTGGCCTTTAAATACAGTGGACATGCTCTGCATCGGCGACTCGATGGAGCCGTGCCGCTCATGTCCTATCATTGAGCTGGAGACTGGGTTCACAGGAGGAGACAGCGGTTGCAGTCTCACCACAGAGCTGTCATGTGGAGAAAGCAGAGCAGGATGGGTACTGTATGGGTGGTTGGGTGGGAACAAGCTGGAAGCAGGCTGTGCTGAGCCATGGACCCAAAATTCCCATCCCACACACAGTGGGCTGGCTCAAAGTCGGCCCTTGTACTTGGACAGAGAGACCCACATAGGGCAGCGGATAATGCCTGATGTGAACTGCTACTGTGTGAGAGTTTGGTGAGTCAGCTTGTACAATGCTGAAGCTTCTATAACACGGTCCTACTTACAACCATATAAGTTATTTCATGGTTAGTAGAGTACACAATATATATATTTTTTCATTTACTTTTCTTCTCAGTACCTACTTATACGATTTGTAATTTGTAAGTAAAAAAAACAACAACAACCTCAAAATCCAGGCAGTTTTAGTGCCATGTTCAACCCATTGAGCAAAGTAATCATACATCATACACTGAAGGAGGTTTGTACCAAAGTAGAAAGGTGACTCAAGTCATTTGGTCCAAGTCTCAAGCAAGTCCTAAGTCATTTTTTCTTGGGAAAGTCAAGTCACAGGTTATGTCAGGTCAAGTACTGACTGATAACATTTAATGCAGCATTAAATGACTTGCAAACATAAAAAAAAAAAAAGTCAGCTTTGAAACGTATGTTAGAGATTGAGATTCAGTGTATCTGTGGTTGGTAGAAACATTACAATGCCAACTTTTCTTTCTAGCAATTGGGCTGATTAGTGATATCAGTCATTATCAGGCTAACATAAGCTAGCTGTGGAGTTGTGAGAGCATTTGGACAGCATCCAAATCACAATGACTCGAGTCCACTGTGTTAAAGTAATATGCTAGATTTCCTGTTTTCAAGACATTTAAACTGTTCCAAAATAGTAGAGTAAAACCTTAACAAGGGAACACAGAAAGGGAGCAAAGACATAATGCTAACATAACTCAATATGTACTGAATATGTGTGGCAAAAAGTACTTACTGCCTCAACCATGACCATAACCAGCCATAATTCCCGATGTGAGGATTTTGATTACTACACAGTTTGGAAAAAGGGACAATAGCACACAATATTGAACAAACTTTCTACATCTGAAATCCTAACGTGAGCTAATGTTAGCTTAGTTTACAACTCGTGGATGATTATCTTGATAATTTTTGTCACAAAATACAGAAATTGTCCATCAATTTGTCTCTTTACACAGAAGCCAGAGATGGAAAGGAGACTTGTTTTACAGTCCTCTTCCCCATTATCTCAATGAGTCTAAATGCAGTGCATTCCACAGATAACATTGGCATGGCCAACTTATTTTAGGCCGGGTTACTTTTTACCAGGCTGACACTAAAATAGCTATGTGTTTGGTATGCAAGTCTAAATGATTTGGAGAGTCTAACCATTTGCAACATGGCTAGTATAAGAGAAATGAACACATGACTCCTGTGCTAGCCAGCGTACACTGACTACCAGTTATGCTAAGTCGCAGCTCAGCTGGTTATTCCTCGATCCTGGTGACCAAAGGTGATGGGGCCTTTGCTGTATGAACTGATTCTGCCGATCAATCCCTTCTTAAAACTGTTTGTTAATGTTTGATGTGTTACTGGGTTTGGTCATCCCAGTGTTGCTATCTTAAATTTTTTTAATGTTTATTTTAGTTTTTTCTTTTTTGTCACGAGAACAAATGACTCCTCTTTTAAGTTTACATTGAGCGTGTTTGTGAGTGTGATTTTCATCTGAGATTTGTTCATGTTAGATGCTTTAGAATTATACCAAAAACATGTTTAGATTTCATCCTTGGTCCAAGTCCTGCATGACAGTTTATCAAATCTGTCCAACCTATTAATTGAGAGAATTCCTGTATACAAGCACGTAAGATAACTTTTTCACTGTTGTTCAGAACAAGCACAACAAACTTTTTGTTTTCTTCTTTAGCATCATCCAGCTACACATTCACAGATCCACCGACACCTGAAAGTACAATTAGTGAGAACAGCCACTCCTCTACAGCACTACTGGAGTAACTGGAGGTGTGTGACTTGCAGTTGCTCACTCACATTTTCCCAGCCTGTATTGGGATCTGAATGTCCTTCTGAGCAAACTTTTTGGCCACAAGCCAAACCTTGAGGGTACCATCACTCCATTCGGCACGGCAAACATAAAACTTACACTGAGAAGCAAGAAAAATGTCAACACAAAGGCTGATAAGAGAGAGACCATAGAACATTAAAACTCAAAATGTGTTTGACACAACTTCTGTATGTTCAAAAGTAGTCTTCACTTAGAACAATGACTATGGTCAGTTTGAAATCATGTCAGTTAGTTTTCTCGGCAGAAAAAGTTTCACTGTAACTCAGTTTTCTGTTAGCTGTTCTGCAAAGAAGGATGCTGCAATACAATTATTAAATTGAAATTGAAATTATAAACACAGACATTATTGTGCTACTGCCAACCATGGAGCTTTGGATCTCTGCAAGATGTTATATATTAAGCCATACTTTGGTAAAAATGGATGACAAGATGTGGATTCTACTGCTATTTCATGAATGTTTTGATACTTACTTTGTGGATATGTTTTACATTAATTATAACAAAAATTAAATAAAAGTTGCCACAGCAGTTGTTCTCTTTAAAAGATGGAAAAATAAAGTTTTAAAATCACCTTTCAAACCTACAAAGGTGTAAGTGTTTAACTGTGACTGCGTATAACAATTCTTGAAACAAGCTGACCTGCACTGAAAACATGTAACATATACTTTAATCTTACAACACTGGCAAGTTATTAGCTCTCAGAATTTAAAAATGTAGTTGTCTATGAAATTTTATGAATAATCCACAATGCAAATAAATAGAATCTACATGTGAACTATGTTAAAATGTCATATTCCATATTATTGTCCATGTAAACTCACAAGGATATTTAATATTAAAATAGTGTTCCCTCTGTCTACATCCAGCTCTTCTGGTGGTCTGTCAAAATAATTCATCCTTCCGATTTCACCTCAATCATTTCTGACACTGAAGTCAGGAACCACCACTGAAAACACTGACAGCTTCCATAGTTAACTCCAGACTCTCCTAATCACTAAGTTTTCTTAGCTTGCGAGGATTTACGCAATACAAAAACCAGAACCAGAACAATACACCGCAAAGTATAGCACTCTATATTGACTCTGATTCTGCATCATCACAGATGGTTGTTGTAGTTCTTCTAGAGACACTCGAACGTAAATTTGAGAAACAATGCCATATTCTACAGCAGTGCCACTGTAGCTGTGTGGCTAATGATAGAAAACAGTGTCAATGTCTTGACATGTCTCAGGGTGATGGTGACAGGGGCTTCAGGAGCGTCACTGGTTTGAGTGTGACACACCATGATGTCAGGAATAAATGTGTAGGAGGATGGAGCGGAAGCACTGTTCCCGTTTCCATATATTTTTACTATAAAAAGTGTACAGTGTTTGGGAAGGAGATTGAAAGAGTTAAAAAGAAGTGGATAAGACGAGAAAACAAAAAGGGGAAATGTGGGCGATGGATTGTTGGTAAAGCAACAACACAAAACTGTTCAAACTCTCCTGTTACATTAATGGTTCTCCATACTTCAGCTATGTGAAAATACATTATGTGGTCAAAAGAAGTATATAGGAATATATATAAGAAATGCCACTGTGTTCCTTATAATTTGAATTTGAATCAGAAGTTGTTTCCCGGGGCTTCATTGCAACATATCCGGTTCCAGTCTGGATTGGCACCTTACCTGTTATCAAAAATGCCTTATTTGAGCTACGTGATGTTTATAATTTTGCCGGTTTAATTCTACCTGGTTTCAATTTTAGTCTAACACTAACAACGATTCAGCTTTCACTCAAAAGTCAAACCAGACATACTGCAACTTCACCATCCATTAACTTCAACTTTATTATCTGACTGAAAATCTGGTTTGCATCCAGGCATTAAAATACACAGACTGCAACAAAGCAACAACAAATATAACAAATACAGTTCACTGCATTGGACTTCATTCATGTATTGCTTTTTTTTATCCAAAGCGCTTCACAGTTTGCCTCCCATTTACACATTCACACATACACACACACACACACAGCTATGGCAGCGAGCTACCATACATAGCATACCATCATGAAAGCCTGACCTCAGTGTCTTGATCAGGGACACTTTGACATGTGTACAGGAGGAGTTGGGGATAAAGTGGATAATTTCTAAACCAAATGCAGTTGTAGGTAAATAGTCCCATGGCTACTGGAATAATAGAGACTCAAGTGTGCTGTATTTAGCATATTGACTAGTGGTCAATATAAGTCATCTTTCCAGTGTCTTTTCAACAATTTACTAGTTGTGTTCAGATTTGAATAGTACAATCTTACAGGAAAAATGGGTGAATTAGAAGTTATCAAAAGTTTCTGTAGGGATGACACAGTGTCGATATCGTACTACTACTGAAAGTTTTGTGAGATGGAAGTGTTAAGTTACCACCAGTGAAAAGCAAGGTTGGATGCGTTGAGAAAGTATTAGAATGCCTCCTTAAAGGATCATTTAAGTCATCCTGACTTTAAAAACCCACTGGGAGAAGGAGACAGTGGGTTATCATTCAGCATCGCTCACCAGCCTCAGCAGAGAAGATGGACTGTCTTGACAAGTGAAATGCTCCCCAAGCAGTGTACCTGACAGCAGTTTTGCTCCATTGTACTTCTGTCACTCATACAGCACCCATCCACTGTTACCCAGGATGTACACTGGATCTCAAGGCTCAAGGGGAAAGGGGCGATCTTTTCTCTTTTGGAGTTCGGGCTCTCAGCCGTAACATGATAACAAAACCATACAGCAAAATGCTTTTTCCAACTTAACATTAGACACACATATAGCTATTCTAAGTGCATTCTGAAAAACACTCTATAAAAGGTT